GATCACTTGGGTTGTTACCGACATCTGGTGAAAATTTCATGTCATTAGCACCTCTAGTAATATATTTACTGAGAAAAATGTTGACGTGTTCAATACTTTTTTACCCGCTGTATACAAAAACCACYAGTTTTAATAAAACTTTCTTGAAACAGTTGCTGGATGTACGTCTACAACTGAACAACCTTTAGCACCAACTCAATTCAAGATGGCTGCCGTCAGCTGACCTTAGGAAACACACATAGTTGTAATTTACCTATTTGTACAGATATTGTAGTAACATTTAGTGAAGTTTTAATGTGAAATCTCGTGATATTGCATCAAGGTTTGACCAAAATGACTACAACTCCATTATTCCTCAACATAAGATGATCTCAGACTAAAACTATTAAAGACAGTGGCCGATGTGTACTCCATAATGAATGCTAGGCCTTTAATGACATGACTGGATATGAAGTAAGCCAGACTGTGTGAAAAAAAGAAGCACAAAAATAAAGAGCATAAAATACAGATAATGTAAGCAAAGATGAATCATTCATAAATCCACAACCTCCTGAACAGGTCGCAGGAAAAAGGGAGGACAGGAGGGACAACATCCACATTTCCCTCTCTGCTTCTTCTCTGTCACAGATTTAGATAAGCGTGTGTGAGTCCATCTATCTCCCACGCACTCGCTCACACTGTGACYGGATTCTGCACGGTGGATCTCACCAGTGACAGAAGCTATCTTCATTTCTGTGCCTCAGCTTCCTGCCCTGTCGAGCATAGCTGGCTGACAGCATCGCAGATATTCATTCCCAGTAGTGTAAAAGCACATTTGTCAGAGTGAGACATTTTTCTTTTCATAGATTTCCTTTTTTGTTCTTTTTATTTCTTACTCTGTCTTGGGCTATCCATGACACATTTTTCTTTTTAATAGGATTCTGGTGAAGCTGTTTTCTCTCTCTTCCTGACATGCAGCTGACAGTGATCTGGTGACAGATTTGCACACAGAGGTTAACAGCATGAAATGAACCATGCCAGGTGCAGTGAAGGGTGAGAGAGCCGACCAGTGTTTGTGTGTTGTGGCGATTGATGCAACTCCCAGGCTTCACAAGTCAAGCTTTGCTTTGTAATCTCTCACTCAATTACTTCTGTCAGTCCACTGGAGAAACAGTTGAGAGGCTAGAGCTGCTGCAGCGTTTACTCTTTTTTTTTCTTCCTCCGAGTGAGCTTGCCTTGGCTTCAGCACAAGAAGCTGCCCTCGCCCAAATGGCAAATTTGGATGGGAATTTTTTTTACTGAGGCGCTGCTACTGTGACAAACTGATTTTGCGAATAGAAAAATCAATGTTTCTCATATCTGTTATCTGAATTGTAAAGTGATTTCCTCTGCGGTTATTAGGAATCTATAAGTGGCGAGAAAAAAACGAGAGTTCAGTCTCACGCAGCCCCTATGTTTCCATCTCGACTCATCTTGTAAAAGGAGCACAGGGCAGCATGTTTTCTGCTGCATGAGGGCAGTGTGACGTTTGTATGTTGAATGAAGACAAAAGGTTCAGCTTTAAGCCTCTGCAAACAGAAACATGATTTAAAACCTTCTGCTTCTTCAACATTTTTGTCAAAGTTGACAAGCTAACAACTAGTTTGAGACATAATTAAAGTGAATTGTTTCAATTTAAAATGAAGTGTTAAAGTTTTTATTATAGTTCATTAGTTTACAAACCTTCTTCAATGCCAGTTTTCATGTTATGGTTATTTCAGCAAATGACAGTCCTGCAAAATAGTGCCCCACCAAAAGTCCTCAATATGCAGCTTGAACTGCATTTAACAATAAGTATCACTTTCTGTACATAACCAATGGGAAATTGACAGCGATGTAAATTATTTTAAAATTTTCGAATAATCCATGATGCAATTTCTAAAAATGGAGACCAGCGATCTTTTTCAGAGAAGCCAAAAACAGGTAAATTGCAGATTAAGTCATTTTAATTTAGTCAACTGACAGTAAAGCCAGCTGTGTGTTTTTAGCTCTTTTAACATCACTTATCCAAAAAAAAAGTTTACAGCAGTTGCAAACATAAATGTTTACATTTTTTGCTCATGAAATCTGCTTTGATTTGTCTTTTTAATTCTACTTCCAAATTTTAGTTAAACATCTGGTTCTTTTAGCTTTTAACTAACTATTATGCTATTTTCTAGCGTTTAGCGTTTCGATACTGTTATATATAGTTTTAGCTTACAGCTATTGTTCTGATACTTTTAGCTATTTATTTAATTATGTTTTCACTTACAGTTAGCATTTTGACACTTTTGGCTTGCAGGTTAGTCAGATTAGATTAGATTAGATTAGATTAGATTAGATTAGATTAGATCAGATCTATCCTTTTAAAAATGTCTTAGCTTTTAGCTAGCATTTTGCTAGTTTTAGCTTTTTGCTTATAGCATTTTGCCATGGTCAGTTATAGTATACTATGATACTTTTAGCCATTTTTTTTGTTTATTTTAGTGTTTTGCTACTTTATTTTTCTACATAAGCTTTTAGCTATTGCTTTGTTATTTTAGTCAGCCTTTAAATATTTTAATGCAGTCATGTCCAACTCTGGTCCTCAAGGGCCGGTCTCCTACAAGTTTTAGGTTTGTCCCTGCTTCAACACAGATGATTGATGTTCTCATCAGAGGCCCATTAATAAGCACTGCTTAGGTTCAGCTGTGTTGAAGCAGGGCAGCACTTCAGGACACTGGCCCCTGATGACAGACTTTGGACACCACTGTTTAATGTTTTAACTTTCTTTTTGATTTAGGCTACTTAGTTTTTGCTACTTTTAGTTGCATATCTGTTTCTGAGTTCTGGTTTAACTTTAACAGCTCAGTTTGAACAAACTTCAGTTTAAGTCATGCACTTTAAATATCTTTTCTTTGGTTGTTCATAACCTTGAACCCCATATAAAAYATGTGAACTATCCCTTTAAGTCTGTAAGACTCACCTTTAAGACATTTCTCGTGATCTTCCCGAAAGAGTTGGGCACGATGAGCAGAACCGGACTGGTGGAGTGACTGGAGGTCCTGCGCCTCCTGTGGTAGGACGGCACTGCCCAGTCCAGAGACACCAGCCCGTCGTCGCTCAGCTGCAGGTTGTCTCGCACGAACTGGACCGGACTTTCGCARGGCCAGCACGCCTCGTGCACGGTCTGGAGTACGGCGCTGGCTCGCCACGTCCAGCCGGCGCAGGGCGAGTAATTAGAGAAAGTCCTGCAGTGTTTCTGGAGGTACTTGGCCAGCGCGGACGGTTTGCAGATGAGCGCCACACCAGCAGCAGCAGCRSSWGCTTTCCCGTCCTCCTTCCCGGTCCCGTCCTTCTCTGCCCGCGGTGACATGCCGGCTCTCTGAAGCGGAACACCCGGCTGACACTCGAAGAAACATCTGGTGCCTGGCCATGCGAGGACCACCAGGATCACAAGAAGACACAAAGCAACAAGCCATTCCAGCATTGGCACGGGTCGGTGGAGCCACTTCTACAGCTGAAGTTGATCTTTATCCTCTGGACGCAGCGGGGCAGATACTTGTACTCTTGTCATTCTTTCACTTTTCWGCTCTTGTGGAAACTGGAGCTCAGAACGGAGATGTTTGAGTGGCCCCAGCAGCGCGCGCGCAGTGCCGACTTGCTGTCATCCCAGCTCCGTCYGCTTCAACACGCTTCCATCTCTGTGCGCACCGAGGCAACCCCGTCACCAAACAGCTGGGAGCGCGAGATCAACGCGCAGCCAGTGTTGGAAACGCCCCCNCACACACACACACACACACACACACACACACACACACACACACACACCTGAACAGGTTTTCGGATGATGCTGTGCACTTTAATCAGGCTACTTCCAGAACCCACGTTTGTAAATTCCTTCTAAATGAATATGGCAACATAAACACGTTGTGACCTTGTAGCACTGAGAACTAAAAACGCATAATGCTCCTTTTTTTATAGGTTATGGAAATAGTTTTTTGCAGTCTATGCAAAGTATAACTTGCATATATAATGGCTGCAGGTGAGTGAAAGCAGACATTATTCTTTATGCCCACATATTTGAATTTTGCAAACGTTATTTCAAACTGAACATAAAACTTATACATGTAGATCAGTAATCTCTTTTGCAACCTTACAAGGACAGTGACATTACTTTAAAATGAATGATTGCTGATGACCAGAATAAACCAGTTCATGATGTAGTTAAGTGTCGTTGGTATAAAACATATTCAAAAATAATCACCTCATTTGTACAGTAAGTGTTTTGAGTATTGAAAATTAAAACAACAAAGTGCTTTTTTCTTAACATTGACATGGATTATAGCAGTGGTTTTCAAATAGCTTCCGGCCCACAAAACAACAGTTTCAGAATTTTGAGACCCCTGATATTACTGGTTTACGTAAACAAACTTTGCTAAAATCTTTGTTAAACTTTTAACAATATAAACTAACCTAATAGACTTTCAGTCTATTACCAAATTATTAGCATTGAAATTGAGGAAATCATTTGAGGACCCCCACTTGATATTTAATGACCCACAAAGAGGTCCCAACCCCAGCTTTGGGAGCCACTTTATATGACACATACACACCATGGAAATTAACAATACTGTTTCGGTGTTCATTGTTCTATTAGATTAAACTTTGTCAGAAAAGAAGTGACAAAAATGTGGTTGCAGGAACCAATGTTAKAGCCTCTGAATCCAGAGAACAGCTGTTAGACAGAGGCAAGAGTTTATTTCATGCTAATTTATTCTGGTTAAATTAGCATGAAATAAAGGATCAAGCAGAGTTATCATCTTCCATCACAGGCCAGGTGCCCTCTTGTTCAGTTCATCAGGACGCATTAATGGGGTTTAGTAGTTATTCTGGAATGAAGAAGATGAAGATTCTCCCCCTCACCTACCACCCCGGTCAAACCTGTTTTTCYTTTGATGAACCTTTTTTGCCCCTTTTTAAGTTTTAGCTGTGTCAGAAGAAAAATATTCAGCTTAAAGTTCTTGTTAGTTCAAAAGTTGTGATGTAGTTTCTGTTTTTCTCCTTTTTATAATAAAGTTCCAGCAGTTTGAAGTTATTTATCCCCACTGAGGACTTTGTTAATCCAGACAACGCCCAAGCCAGCATCATGTTTCTTACCCATAAAACCTTTCCTGAATCGTTAACGTGTGTTTTCTAAGAATTTGTTGCACATTGACTACCAAGGACACACATATCATGTTTTATTATTTTATTAGAGTTTTTTTTTTTTACATTTTTGGACTCTATCTTTGATTACTTGTCAGTGTTGCTAAAGGTCCTTAAGTTGTCCTTTTTTGTTGCACCTCCACTCACTTTGTTCAGCTGTACTTAGGCATCCATGCACTTTCAGACCCTAACAGATCACCGAGTGGATTACTCCTATTTTTAGTTCATTCCTGTTCTGTAAAGGTTTATTTAAACCCTATKTTTATTTATTAATTTATTTTTGGTTTTGGGAACCTCAGCGTCTCATCTTCAAGCCACGAGCTTCGGCTCACACTGGTGTGGTTCACAGCTGATTATGGTTGAGATAAGAGCAATGTCCTCCAAACACCTTGGTTATGTAGTGGAAAAAAGGCGGATTGCTCTTTTTGTGTTGAGAGTTGAGTTTCTGCCTCAAGCAGAGGAGTTCCAGTATATGAGTGGATGGTGCACGAGAGAAGGTAGGATGTGTGCAAGAGATGGASTGATGGATCATTGCTTCAGCTGCAGCTCCATTTGTGGTTTAGCATAAAGAGTTGGGCTGAGGGAGCTGAATCTACATTCTCTTCTTGGCCCATTACAGACACAGTCTTAATAATTATAGGATGTGTCAAAAGTCACAGGACACACTTTTATTTCAGAAAGAAAAGGTAAAATGATTAAATACTCCAGCATGTAATGAGTGGGGTGGCTTATCTTATAGGATACTTCCAGAACATGACTGCCATTTCAAACGTCGACATATTGGAACAAAGTTAAAAGGTGTCTTACGACTTTTGGCTCACCTTGTGTGTAAACATACGTCATCAGAGCTGCTGTCTGAACTTGACATTTTCTGGTGGTTTTGTATTCATARATTTAAATAGCTATTGTTCAGATTTTCAGCTTGTATTGAATCATTTTCTATCACATAATTCAGCATTTGGATCTTACATTTTGGTAACATGATGTAAATCAGACATGTAATGCATCATTGGCATTCATTGCCAGTCGCCATTCTTGCAAAACAGCTAAATAAATAAATAGATAAATAAAAATACACAAAATTCATAGGAAGCATCAAGAAAACAAACTCAGGCAGCTAGTTAAAACATTCAAACAACCTGGTTCTAACTTAGTGTTGTAACTTGTTTGCCCGTTTCTAAATCAGCTCTTAATTTGAGTTGTTTACAGCGAGTAAAATAAGTATTGAACACGTCAACATTTTTCTCAGTAAATATATTACTAGAGGTGCTAATGACATGAAATTTTCACCAGATGTCGGTAACAACCCAAGTGATCCAGACATACAAAGAAAATAAACCAGAAATGTCCAGAAATGAAGTTATTTGTACTAATGTAGAATGGCACAGGGGGAAAGTATTGAAC